CTCATTTCCACTTTATTATCGCTTTCTGGCCCACGTGTGATAACGTAAGTGCCCTGAATGTGGGAAAACATTTGGTGTGAGCACTATCCTCTCCGGACATCTGAGAATCCACACAGGAGAAAAACCATATGAATATTCAGAATGTGGGAAAAGTTTCAAGCTGCGTTCAAATCTTATTGCACATATAAAAATACACATTCCAAGGAAATCGTAGATGTTTTTTGACTGCAGGGGGTTTGTCAAATTTTAATTCAGCTGTCTTTTTTGATAGTTATATAATGATAGCACAGTTCTGATCAGATTTAATGATTCTGTGAGGTTCATAGAATCATGGAAGAGACCACAAGGGCCATCCAGTCCAACCCCCTGCCATGCAGGAAATCACAATCAAAGAGGTGCAAATCATGGCTCCCCAGTGATCTTGGACTGCAAGTCCCAGTAGGCTTAGGCAACATAGTGTACAATGAAGAATGCTGGGAGTTGTAGTTAACAACATCTGGAGAACTACATAATTTCATTCCCCATTGTCCTCACAATTCAAGAGTTAAGTTGAATCACTCACACACCCCTGTTCTCAAAGAGTTTACACACTCACGGCAATCTCATATAATATAGATTATTGCTAGTATCTTATCTCTCTGTTTTCTGTATTTATTGGAATATTTTTGTTTTATATATTAAAAAAATCAAGGGGGGGGTATAATAAAGGTGAACCCATGTGCAAAACACAACACAATGGGCTATAAATCAAAGCAGTTCCACTGTTCTGGAACTACCGTACCAGTTAACAGCATTACTGTTACTTGATATTATTACATTGTAATTAAATTCTGCCAGTAATTTTGGAATCTCATGGAAGCAATGTGGACTTCCGCAGGAGTTTAAGATCATCCTTGCATTTGTAACACTGCATTATGGCTGTATATACTTGACTATAAGTTGACCTCACGTATACGAAGGGCAGGTTTGGGGACAGAATTAGAGATTTTGATATAACCCATGTATGTCGAGGGTAAAACTTAGGACCATGAAACAAGGTCATAAAGGAAAGAGCAAAGGAAAACGATGTCAAAGCATACGGCTATTCTTCCACCCAGGATTTAAAAAAGGCTAGAAGCAGCACTACAGTGGAAAGAGTAGAGGGTGCTGGTACTTCTTTAAGGTGCTCCCAGGACATGCGAAGCTCTCATCTTTCGCCGGTCTACTCAGAGAACGGAAGGGTTCCTATTTTAATAAGAGTAAAAGTACAATACTTACATTGACTCGTGGCTAAGTCAACCCAGTTTTTGGGGGGGTTATTTTTTTAACTAAAATTTATAAACCTATTCATGAATATATACACTAATCTTGGAATTTAGACCCATGAAGCCATTCCATTTTTTGCATGCTTTCATTGCATCCTAGAGACCCACATTAAAAAGAACTTTGTGTAGGATGAAATGGGCAATGCTGTATTTCCTGAGGGCCATGGTCTCTTAATGGAAACATGTCTGATGTCCTCACGCCATATGTTGGCAAGGTTAAAGCTAAAAAATGGGCCAAAATCCTATACGCACAAAGAGCATTTGCAAATCCATCCATACAAAACCCATCCCACAATTGTCACAACTCTACATGCATTTGCATATTCATCCTGCTGCTCTAATCTTTTTTTCTCAGATCCTTTCGTTTCTCAACCTTTCCTTTCTTTAAGTTTGATCCTTTACCTTCCTTTCCATCTTTTCTTTGTTCCTCCTCTAAGCTCTCTCATTCATCATTGTCTACTTCAGCCAACCTAAGGTTTCACTTAGGAGAAGGTGGGCCAAGCCACTGAACGGAGCCGAAATTAGACCAGCCTTTCCAAGGAAACATGAGCGCTTTCAAAGACAATTACATATATAGGTTGAGTCTCCCTTATCTGAAATGCTTGGGACCAGAAGTATTTTGGATTTTTATTTATTTATTTATTATTTTAATATTTGCTTATACATAATGCAATATCTTGGAGATGGGCCCCAAATCTAAACGTGAAATTCATTTCTGTTTCATATACACCTGATAAACATAGGCTGATCATAATTTCATACATAGTTTTAAAATTATTTTTAAAATTCATTTTTTAACTAATTAAAATAATACATGACACAACGTAACTTCTTACAACACATACATGGACATTAAAAACATAAGAACATAGACAATTACAATGTTGATTTCCTGGACTCTTTTTTTTTCTCTCTGATAAAGTTAATTCATTCACTATCTCTTCACATAAACTTATTGTCTTTGTTCCTCTACTACTAACTTTATCAGTTAACTAAATAATATTTAACCTATTTATCTCACAGATTCCAAAGTTCATATCACACCAATCACAGCCTTTTCTCCCCATTTCTATTGCAAAAAATAAAACATAATTTAAAAAAATAATAATAATCAGTGGTTCCCAATCTGTTCTACAACTCTTCCGTGATTTTCCTCTTA